AGAGGGAACAGAAGAGGCACAGCTGTACGGAGAGGGGCCAGAGAGGAGGGAAGCCCAGTGCAGGGAAGGGGCTTTAACCAGGGGGCTGAGACCTGCTTGCCTTGGGTGAGCCCTTGGGATTGGGGGCCACTCCCCTCACCCCAGCGTGAGCCTGGCTTCAGGAGAGTCCTGCAGGCCTTCCGTGGCAGGGGAGCTGCATGGAGGCCAGGTTGGCATGGGTCGGAAGTGGTGGCCAGGTGCCCGTCTTCGAATAGCGCCCATCTGAGACTTGACTGTCCTGTCAGGAAACCAGCTGGGAGTCTCCGTCACCAGCCATGCTGGGCATCAGCGGGCCAAGCAGGTCCTTGTCCCAAGGCTGTAACTGGCTTTCACCTGTCTTATATGCCACAGTGCTTTCCTTCTGCCAATTACAAATCTTTATTTTTTTCATTATAAAAGCAACAAATGTCCAAAAAAAAGGTAACAAATGTTGACCATGAAAAAAAAACCCAAAACCCAGATACGAAGGAAGGAGCCAATAAGAAAGCTCACTGTTGGGTCTTCAGAGTGACTGCTGTCGCAGCTAACTGAATGTCTAACAATTAAAACGGGCTCTCACGAATAAGAGCTATGGTAGGAATTGCTCAGGGAGGGCCACAAAAAGCTTGTGGTCAGCAAAGTCCTCACAGAAAGGGCAGCAGTCGAGCAGTGATTCAAGGGAACAGTGTTGGGAACAGCGTAGGAAAAACAGTGAGACATTGAACTAGACAATTTGTTCAAGGGACTAAAATGGGGTTCACATTGGCCGTACTGGGAAAAAGACAAGAAAGAGGCTGGCGGGTGGGCAGGGCCCATATACTGGGGACCTCGTATGCCATAAAGCACTTTTTGGTTTTGTATTCTTCAAGGGAATGCTTTTGGTGGTGGTTGCTTAAAACCACCTAACTTTTTTTAAATAGTTGTTTCCATGGAAACTCTTCATTATTTGATATATCATAGTTACCTACATCCTTTTTCTATTATTGGGCAAAAAATAAAAGTTTGAGGGGCGCCTGGGTGGCTCAGTTGTTAAGCGTCTGCCTTCAGCTCAGGTCATGGTCCCAGGGTCCTGGGATGGAGCCCCACATCGGGCTCCCTGCTCAGCGGGAAGCCTGCTTCTCCCTCTCCCACTCCCCCTGCTTGTGTTCCCTCTCTCGCTGTGTCTCTTTCTGTCAAATAAATAAAATCTTAAAAATAAACACAGAAATAAATAAGTTTTAAGTATAAAACAAGGGGGTCTGCACAACAAATGTAGATTTTCATTTTTTTTTTTTAAAGATTTTTTATTTATTTGAGAGAGAGAGAATGAGAGATAGCATGAGAGGGAAGAGGGTCAGAGGGAGAAGCAGACTCCCTGCTGAGCAGGGAGCCCGATGTGGGACTCGATCTCGGGACTCCAGGATCATGACCTGAGCCGAAGGCAGTCGCTTAACCAACTGAGCCACCCAGGCGCCCTTCATTTTTTTTTTTTAAGATTTTATTTATTTGACAGAGAGAGCACAAGCAGAGGAAGAGAGAGGGAGAAGCAGGCTCCCCGCTGAGCAAGGAGCCCAATGCGGGGCTCCATCCTAGGACCCTGGGATCATGACCCGAGCTGAAGGCAGACGCCTAACAACTGAGCCACCCAGGCGCCCCCATACTAGATTATTTATAATCAACTATAATTTCTAAAGTACCAAAACATTAAGAAAAATCAAGGGCAGCGCAGGGTGCTTGTTCAGTGGACGCAGCTGCCCCCTTCCTGTTCTATGCCATCATCCGTGGGGTAGGTCGAGCCTGTCCAGTATCGCCCTGATTGGCCCCCGGGAAGTGGACATTGCAAGGAGGAGGTGGCTCCTGACCCAGTCTGGTGGAGGAGGAAGGCTCACGGATGGGAGGATTTGAACCTGTGTTTTAAGAAAGGACAGAAATGGGCCAAATGAATTGAGGGGGGAAGAAAGGCAGGTGCTTCCTGCAGGGCCCCGGGGGTGGGAGCAAAGTTTGCAGGAATTGGACCCTGGGGGCCTGTGGGACTTGGGCGCTGAGGCCAGGGGGGTTCCCCAAGGTCGCTGAGGGGAAGTGGTTCAGGTTTCCTGAGAGGCATAGCCCTGGGTGGGCTCCCCATCGCCCCCCGCCAGACTTTCCTGTCCTGATGCAGGGGCAGGGCCGGTGTGGGGGGTGTCACTCTGCTGCTGCAGAAAGGGAACTCAGGGAGTGGGCCCTTGTCACCAGCCCATCCTGGCTGGATGCTGGCTGCCTGCTTCCCTCCTGAACACGGGTGGGGACAGGGGATCGAGCCCTGCATTGGACTCCCTGCTCAGCGGGGCGCCTGCTTCTCCTTCTGCCTACTTGTGCGCTCTCTGTGTCAAATAAATATCTTTTTTTAAAATGATTTTTATTTGAGGGAGAATGAACATGAGTGGGGGAGGGGCAGAGGCAGAGGGAGAAGCAGGTTTCCCGCGGAGCAGGGAGCCTGATGCAGGGCTCCATCCCAGGACCCTGGGACCATGACCTGAGCTGAAGGCAGATGCTTAACTGACTGAGCCACCCAGGCGCCCAAATAAATAAAATCTTAAAAAAATATTTCAATATGTAATCAGTGTACAGATTATTAATGAGATGCATGGGCTTTTTGTTGTTGTTGTTTGTTTTTCTTTTAAGTAGGCTCCATGCTCAACATGAGGGTCAGACTGAGACCCTGAGATCCAGAGCTGACTGAGCTCCGCCAGACTGAGCCCGCCAGGCGCCCCAAGGAGATGCCCGTTTTACCGCACGCCGCATCTTGGTATGGACTCACCACCTTCAGCTGCTCAACGGCCACTGTCTGGGACTGCACGTGTGGAAGTGGAGACAGAAGTCCTAGTGCCTAGAGCTAGCTGATGACCCGGAGGACTGGGAGACGCCAGGCTCAGCGCCCAGAGGCTTAACTGTGTGAACTCATTGTCTCCCCTCAATCCTTTGAGGGAGAGTCGATAATAGCCCCACTTTACAGGTGAAGAAACTGAGACGCAGGGGCTTGGGAGCCTTGTCGTGGGTCACAGAGCTGGGAGGGAGGGAGCCAGGGCTCTGACTAGAGGGGACGGACACCTACTCTCTCATTCCAGTGTCAGAAGGTTTTATGCCCCCACCCCCAGCCCCTCATGGGCTCAAACCAGGTTTCCGCAGGGCCCCAGGGAGCCTTCCTGCTGAGCAGGTGGAGAGGCCGTGGTGGCCAGCTGCTGCGAGCAAGGGGTGTAGGGGAGGCTGTTCACGTGAGGGCCAGGGCGCTGGGCGGGACGGCAGCAGGGCCCGAGCCTGCTCCACTGCCCCTGACGGTTTGCGAAAGCCCCAAGCCCGGGAGAGGCTTCTGTGCCAGATAGCCAACGAGAGGCGCCCACGGCTGTCCCAGCTGGTGCCTCACCCCCGCGCGGCCCTGCGATTTGTCCCAGGCTGTCCCCAGTGCCCCCACTTCTCCCTATTCAGTGCCCACCGAGGTGCCTGAATCCATGGCCACTCCCTCTAAGATTCACGGCCCAGGGAAACGGGCTCTACTTCCCAGTGGCAGGCCTGCAGGGAAGCTGTGGCCATTTTTAATCTACCGTGTAAGTAACTCAAAACAACTTCAGTCTTGCTTACATTTCTCAGAATTAGTGAAAAGCAACCCAGCTCCCCTTGATGTCTGCAAAGGTATCGCCTCCCAGTCACTCTCTGCTCTCCCGTCCGCTGCAGTATAGCATGCATGGCCCTCATCCTCAGCTCAGGTCCCTGCACAGCCCCCTCCTCCCACCCCCAACCCCCTTCTCATCTTCCTCACCCCTTGGGACTCACCCCTGCGTACTTAGTTTCGGTAAATACTACCATGGGCACATCTCATTCTACTTGCTATTTTTTACCTTCAGCATTATTTTCAGGTCTCTTCATCTTGATTTTAGTAGATCCTAGCTCATTTTAAGTCCTCTATTGGATTCCTTTATAAATCGTCTCCTATATCACATTTCAGTCTTTAATTACACATTGGTGGCACTTAGGCTGCTCCCAAGGCTTTGCAAACGTGTAAGAAAGTTCCTCTGAAATTGTGGATCATGGAGGGCCGCCATACCCAGTCACTGTTCATCCCCAGTGGCTCCCCCAAATGACCCAAAGATGGTGCTGGTAGCAGGGCACAAGGATTCCTGTTCACTCACATCATTGCTTATATTTGATGCCAACCAACTGCCTTCCTGTTGGCTGCTCTGGTTGACGGAAAATGCAGTGTCTCTTCAGACTCTTCCTGGGCGTTCACGGTCTCCCCGCTGGGCAATGCCCCATCAGACCCTTTGCCCTTTGATGTTTGATCTTTCTCATGATGGCCCCTGGATTTCCCATATAGTCTAGTTACTAATCATCCGATTACAAAGATTGCAAAGGTTTTTTTCTATTCTGTCACCCATTTGTAACATTTGTCTATGGTGTCTTTTTGTTCCAAGTGGATTTTTTTAAGTTTATTTATTTCACAGAGAGAGAGAGATTGAACACAAGTGAGGGGGAGGAGCAGAGGGAAAGGGAGAAGCAGACTCCCCGCTGAGCAGGGAGCGCAATTCGGGGCTCGATCCCAGGACCCCGAGATCACCACCCGAGCTGAAGACACACGCTTCACCGACTGAGCCATCCAGGCGTCCCCCAAGTGGATTTTTAAGTGAGATATAATTACCTACGATAAAATGCATAGATCTTAAGTGTTCCATCCAGTGAATTTTGACCGATGTCTACGCTCAGGTATAGTTTGCAAGTGCCATCTTCAATATTGGGGAACCAATCATGCCTCCATTTTTCTGCATTACGTATTAGTATTTTATTAACCTTTTACTGATCCGATTTTGGCTCTTGCATAACATTTTTTGTGTGAGGGACGAAGTGCGCTGCCCGACTCGCGTCCGCCGCGGCTCGGGGCCGGCGCTCGGGCCCCCCCTGCCGCCCATTGTGACGCCGGCCGCCGGCCGGATCCCCGAGCCCGGCAGTGGCGGCGAGACCGAACCCCTGGTGCCATGGCCGAGACGCAGGAGCTGCTGCTGCAGCTGCAGAAGGACAACCGCGACGGGCGACTGCGGAAGCAGGAGCTGGAGGAGCTGGTGCGCGGGCTCGAGGCCGAGAGCGAGAGCCTCACCGGGCGCCTGCAGGACCTGCGCGAGCGCGAGCGCAGGTGCGCGGCTGGATGGGGGCGAGGCGGGCGCACGAGGGTCATTCCCACGGCGGCGGCACCCGGGCCTGGGCAGAGCCGCCGGCCGGCCGGTGGGTTACTCCTCCCCGCCCGGGCCCGAACCTCCGCTCTAGGCCGGCGGGACGTGGATGATCTACTCGGGGAACCCACGAAGGGGAGGGTGCGGCCCCTCGGCGCGGGCTTCCTCGGCCCCATCGCAGCTGGCCTTTTCCGGGGGCTGCGGGAGCCTGAGCACCTGCCGCCTCCCGCGGTGGCACCGCCTCAGTTTCCCCTCTGCAGCCTGCAGCGGAAGCGAAGCCAGGTGGCGCGTAGCCTGCGCGGGGAGGTGCGCGAGGCGGCGCGGGAGCGCGCGGAGCGAGCGCGCGGGCTGCTGGAAGCGGCGGAGCAGCACCTGCAGGACTTGGTGGGGGCGGGGCCCTGGATGGGGGCGGGGCCGGCGGGGAGGACGGGAGCGGAGCCCTGGATGGGGTACGGCCCGCCGTGAGGCTGAGGTCTCCGAGAAGCCCAGACAGACCCCCTCGACCCTCTCCGCAGGAGCAACACAACCGGCAGCTGCAGGAGCAGTGGGAAGAGCTGTCGAGTCAGGTACATTAAAGGAGACGGCCCCGGTCTCTAGCTTCCCCTAGGAAGTCCCACTGTCCTCCTTGCCCCCGTTTTCGCCCTGTCCCCGCCTGCCAGGACATTCCCCGCCCCTTGAAGCCCCGCAAACCCCACCCTTACAAAACCCATCCCTAGCTCTTCTACTACGGAGGGGAACAACTGAGTCAGCAGCGCGCCGAGCAGCAACTCGGGACCCAACTGATGGCGTTGCAGGTGTTTGGGTGGGACCCCCAAGGCCGGAGCGGCGGCGCGGGCGGGGCCATGACAACCTGGGGGCGCGGAGGCTCCCTGGGGGGCGGGGGTGGGCAGAGCGGAGGCGTGGGTGGGGACCCGGGCGTCCTGGATTCCTGACATTGCTTGGATCCGTCGGAAGAAACAACTAGAGCTGTTGGAGGCCAAGCACGCTAAGCAGGCGGAGAGCCTGCGACAGGTGAGGGCGGAGCCGGGGCCTGAGGGAGAAGGTCGGCTTCGGGTGTGGGTGGAGCCAGGGCAGGTGCGGGAGGATGGAGAGGGGTGTGCTACCCCGAGTCTCATCGGGGCTGCCCTCATCCCAGGGCGCGCAGCGGACGGAGGAGGCCTGGGCCAGCTTTCAGGAGCAGAGCGGAGTCCTGCAGGTACCGCCTCCTCCGCCCCGAGAGCCCCTCACGTCCGACTCCCCTCCAACCCGCGAGCTGCGCCCTCCCCCGCCGGCCCCGGGGTCTCCTCCCCCAGTCCTGAGACCGCACTCCCACTTACTCCAGGAGCTGCAGGGAAAGGTGATGGAGGCGGCTGCTGCGCTGGACGCCTCGCGGGGCGGCCCGGAGCTGTAAGGGGGCCAGGACTGTGGGGTAAGGTGGGGCGACAGTGGGGCCGAGTTAGGTCGCCCACCTCGATGCCCTTCCCGGCAGGTGGGACTCCCGGCCTCGCTGGGTGCAGGACTGCGCGGGCTCGCTCATGGAGGAGGTGGCCGAGGCCGACTGTGTGCGCGCGGGCCCGGGCTGGGCGGGCGGGCTGGAGTCGGGACCCGCCCCGCCCCCAGGCCACCCGCGCCCACGGGGCCCCACCTCCCCTCGAGGGCCCGCCCCCCGATGGACCCGCGACTCCCGGGGTGGAGTGTGGGGGGGTTCTGGTCCTTTACGACTCCCGCCCCCTCCATGAGGGACCCGGAACTCGTGGCGCCCCCGCCCGGGCGCCGAGCTAGACGCTGCTGCCTCCCTCCGCAGGAGAGGCGGCTTTTCACCGGCACCGGCTGGGCGGGCATCAGGTGAGCATGGTGGCAGGCGGCGGGCGTGCTGGGTTCCGGTCCATCCCACGACTTACCCACCACCTCCCCGCCGCCTGTCCGTCGGTCCTTGGGTCCGCAGGCTGTGGGCGCTGGGCGCGTTGCAGACGCTGCTGTTGCTCCCGCTCGGCGTCCTGGCGCTGCCGCTGCTCTACCTGACGCTCGTGAACCCCTCCGCCCTCCGCCGGGGACTCCCGCACTTTGTCTCGGACGCCGCCTTCCGCCGCCTGCGCTACACTCTGTCCCCGCTGCTCGAGCTGCGCGCGCGCGGCCTGCTGCCCGCCTAGCGCGCATCACGCCGGCCGCGGCCGCCTGCACCTCTGTTTCCCGAGTGGTTTCTGGGCGCCTGGGTGGAGACCGAGGGGGGACTCTCGGGGGTGAGTCATGTGTCCCTCGGCCCAGTGGTCCTGGCACCTCGGGCTTAGCGGGTGCAGGGCTTTCCGGGAGGTTCTTGGGTTTGGAGAGGCTGCCTCCGGCGCCGGGTGGCGGAGCCCGCGACTCGGGCCTGAGCAGGGCGCGCCCTCGTCCGGCACCCGCGCCTTGGGGCGGGGGGGGGGGGTCGCACCAAGGGGCTCCCGGGAGCCATCCTAGGAGCCTCTTTCCTACAGTCCCTGCTGCCGCACCAGAGCCAACTCGGAAGTTGGCCAGTATCTTTTTGCTAAATTTGCTTTTTCTCTGCTTAGTGAGCCTGGGGGGCAGGTCTTCTGGGTGGAGGTCCGTGGTTCCCCTGGCCCGGTTGCGTGGGGGTTGAGATCCCCGCAGCATCCTTTGGTTTTCTCGGGGCGGGTTGTTCGGGGCGCCGGCCTGGGCATTCCTCTCCTGTGGTCCCCTTGCGGGGCGTGCCAGCCTTGCTGACAGTGCGCGCTCACCACGGCGGTCTTCGTGGGGAATCGACTTTTTATTTAGGTGAAATGTTCTGCTTGGTGGAAATGATGAACCTTGAGTTTTTGTGTCTAATACAAATACTGTCCTACTTTTATTCTTTACGTTTTTTGGTAGTGAAATTGTTCTGTGTTATGTCCTTTTTGCGGGCGCGCGTGCACATACATCCACACCCACCGACCCTCCTTCCCCCGCCACAGGTTTTTTCTGTGGTCTCCAAACAATCGGTTTCTTATTGATGTGTAGGTACTTTTTTTTTTTTGTCTTTTGGGGTTAAGTTTGCTTATGTAATCCTGTGTATATACTTCATCAAATTTAGGAATCGTGTGCTGTGTCCTAAAAAAAAAAAAATCCATTCTTGTCTAGGAGTCGTAATATTCTCATACGTTAAATACTTTTATTTTTATTTATTTATTTTTAGATTTTTTTTTTTTTAAGATTTTATTTATTTGACAGAGTAGACACAGCGAGAGAGGGAACACAAGCAGGGGGAGTGGGAGAGGGAGAAGCAGGCCTCCCGCTGAGCAGGGAGCCTGATGCGGGGCTCGATCCCAGGACCCTGGGATCATGACCTGAGCTGGAGGCAGACACTTAACCGACTGAGCCACCCAGGCGCCCCCATTAAATACTTTTAATTGGTGTGTTTTGTTTATACATTCATTATAACGTTTTGTTGCTAACCATTTTATTGATTCATGCATAGATGGGCATTTGGGTTATTTCCACCTTTTGGCTGTGGTGAATAATGCTTCTGTGAACATTGGTGTATAAATATTTGTTTGAGTCCCTACCTTCACTTCTTTTGGGCAAATACACAGACTTGGGACTGCAGGATCATTGGTACTTCTGTGTTTGATGTTTTGAGGACAAAGCGCAATACTGGGTTCCACATTTTACATCTCCATGGCAGTGCAAAAGGGCTCTAATTTCTCCACATCCTCACCATCTATTTTTATTTATTTATTTTTAGAAGATTTTATTTATTTATTTGAGAGAGAGAGAGAGAGAACAGGAGGGAGAGGAAGAGAGAATCTGAAGCCGACTCCACGCTGAGTGAAGAGCCCCGGGGAGGGCTCGATCTAACCACCTAGCTGAAGCCAAGAGTCAGAGGCTTAACCTGAGTCACCCAGGCGCCCCTGTTTTGTTTTTTTAAAAAATTTTAAATACAATAGCCATCTTCAGGAGTGTGATTTTTTTTTTTTTGCTTTCAATTTTTAGGGATTGCATTATTTTTTTTTCTTTTAGATTTTATTTTAGAGAAAGAGCATGAACTGGGGGAGGGGCAGGGAAAGGCAGAAGGAGAGGGAGAGACTCTCAAGCAAACTGTGCACTGCTTGAGGAGCCCTGATGCGGGGCTCGGTCTCAGGACCCTGAGATCATGGCCTGAGCCCAAACCAAGTCAGATGCTCAACTGAGTCACCCACGTGCCCCAGGCATTGCATTATCTTACTTTATTTGTTTCTTCCAAGCTTTTATTTATCTTATTTTTTATAATCTATAACTACAAAATTAAATCTGTGAAATAAGACATCTTAGGGACGTCTAGCTTTTACCCCTGTGCCCTCCACCCTGTTGCCCGCACTCCCTTAGAAGAAACATTAGGTTGTTTTAATGGACTCTTCTTTTTTTGCCCTTAACTAAGTGATGTATACAGTCACGACCTCTTCCCTTTCTTAGATGAACACAGGGTACCACATGGACTTCTCTCGGCTCCCCTTTCAGCACCTGGCTCTGAGAATGTCAGATGAGTTGTGTCCTTTACTCAACGGCAGTGATGCTGGTGGATTCCCATGCTTTGTTATTACAAACAAACAGGGTCTTGGGGTTCCTGGCGGGCTCAGTCGGTAGAGCGTGTGACTCTTGATCTTGGGGTTGTAAGTTGGAGCTCCATATTGGGTGTAAAGATTACTTAAAAAATAAAATCTTTAAAATAAAAACAAAACAAAACCAAACCCAAGCAGTATCTCAATGAGGAGGCTTCTGCAAACACCTTCTTTGTATTTCGCCAGTCTTTGAGATCGATTCCTAAAAGAGTTTGTGGCCAAAGTGTAATCTCACACATGATAGTGCTGGATACTGCCCAGCTCCTCCTCCTGCTTGGACTGTTTTCCATTCCCACCGTCACTGGCTACGACGGCCCCTTTCCCCACAGCCTCAGCCGTGGTGCATATTGTCACACTGGGGTCAGTCTGATGGGTGAGAAATGGCACTTCAGGGTAGTTTTCATTTGCATTTATCTTATGATCAGGATTAAGTATATTTTTATATTTCAGGGCCAGCTGCCTTTCTATTTCTGTAAATACCATTTGCTTATCTGAAAAATAACAGGATTGTAGGGTTTTCTTCTCCCTCAGTTGGCATTTTGAGATCTTTTGTAAGTATTTACTGTCTTGCACTTTGTTCCTGGTGTTCTTTTGCTATCCATACATTGCTTTGTAACAATTTACTTTCCTGTATTGATTCTGGATTTTGGTAGGAAAGTTCTCACTTCCAGGCTGTTGAGGAAACTCACCCATGTCGTCTTCTAACATTTGCATAATTTCATTATTATTTTTTAAAGTAGTCTCTACACCCAACGTGGGGCTCAAACTCACGACCCTGAGATCAAGAGTTGCATGCTCTTCCGACCTAGCCAGCCAGGTGCCCCTTGCATGGTTTCTTAGTTCACCTTTCAACCTCTAGTCTAGTTCAGACTTACCATGGTTTACGATGTGCAGATGGTTTGCACTTCTGTAGAAGTTTTAGACTTGGCTTGTCAATTTCCATAAGAATGTCTGGGAATGTGAGTATAGTGAATTTAGAGACTATTTTGCAGGGAATTTAGTCTTCCAGTCCTCAAACATGATGCCAATGTCCGGTTTTTATTTATTTCAGCAATGGTTTGTATTTTTTTAGTGTAGAAGTCTCACACATCTTTACTTTTATCCCTAGGTATTTTATGTTTTTGGATGCTATTAAAAATGGTCTGGGGCGCCTGGGTGGCTCAGTTGGTTAAGCGACTGCCTTCAGCTCAGGTCATGATCCTGGAGTCCCGGGATCGAGTCCCGCATCGGGCTTCCTGCTCAGCGGGGGGTCTGCTTCTCCCTCTGACCCTCTTCCCTCTCAGGCTCTCTGTCTCTCATTCTCTCTCTCTCAAATAAATAAATAAAATCTTTAAAAAAAAATGGTCTGGATGTTTGTTTTTTAATTTTTTTTTAAGGTTTTATTTGTTTATCTGACAGCGAGAGAGGGAACACAACACAGGCAGGGGGAGTGGGAGAAGCAGGCTCCCCACTGAGCAGGGACCCCGACACAGGGCTCGATCTCAGGACCCCAAGATTATGACCCGAGTGGAAGGCAGCCGCCCAACTGACTGAGCCACCCAGGTGCCCCAGGAAAGGCGTTCTTAAGAAGTAGGATGTTTATGAGAGAGATACCGTGCTATGATTATATTTTCTTGGCGTGTCCTAGTCTTAGGGCTATGCTACCCTCATAAAAATGATTTGGGGAGTGTTCTCTATTTTCTGAGAAAGTGTGTAACATTGGCATTTTTCTTCCTTAAATGTTTAGATCCATCTTGGCTTTATGATGAAAAGAAAAATTACCCCTAATAATTTTTGTTGTTAACACAGAGAAGTGTATGAATCATCAGTGAATTTCCCCAAAGGGAACGCCTCTGTAGAATAAGAAACAGACCAGTGCCTTCATTTTCCCTCGTGCCTCCCTAGTTGCTCCCTCCTTCAAAAGTAACTACTGTCCTGACTTTGGATACCATCAAATAATTATGCCTGTTCTTAAACTTCAAATCAAAAAATGCAGTATGGGGACGCCTGGGTGGCTCAGTTGGTTGGGCACCTGCCTTTGCCTCGGGTCATGATCTCAGGGTCCTGGGATCGAGCCCCACATGAGGCTCTTTGCTCCACGGGGAGTCTGCTTCTCCCTCTGCCTGCCACTCCCCCTGCTTGTGCTCTCTCTCTGACAAATAAAATCTTAAAAAAAAAAAAATGCAGTATGTATCTTTTTGTGTCTGGATTCTTTTGCTAAACATTGTAAGAGTAGTCCATACGGCCTGCTGCCATGTTCATTTATTTCTATTGCATTTTAGTCTATCACATGAATAACGGTTATTTATCTCTTGTTGAAGGGCATTTTGCTCATTTACAGTTTTTTGTTGTTATGAATGGTGTCCTTTGTTCCCAGGTTTGTGGCATGCTGTTTTTAACACACACACATACACACACACATTTTAAGTAGGTGCTATGCCTAGCATGGAGCCCGACGTGGGGCTTGAACTCATGACCCTGAGATCAAGACCTGTGCTGAGATCAAGAGTCGGATGCTTAACCGACTGAGCCACCCAGGCGCCCCAATACATATTTCTTTTATTAAGATTTTATTGATTTGAGAGAAAGTGAGCATGAGCAGG